AAGAGCGAAACTCCGTCTCAAAAAAAAAAAAAAAAAGTTACATCACCTGGATATTGAACCCAGCAGTATGTCACAATGGCCCAAGTGGACAAACCCATAGACAGAAGAGTCACATGATGTCAGTGCAGGGCCCAGCAATATGTCACAATGTCTCCTGCAGGCAAAACCTAAAAGTCACATCAGCTAGGTGCTGGACATAGCAATATGCTACAATGTTCCTGTAAGCAGAGACGAGGCAGATGGACAGTCACATCACCTAGATGCTGGGGCTAGCAATATGTCAACCATCTTTCCTGTATTAAAGACCCAGTCATGAGAAACATCACCTGGTTGCTGGCCACAGAAATATGCCACAATTTTTCCTGTAAACAGGGTACAGGAAGAGGAGAGTCACATCTCTTAGGTAATAAATGTAGGCCAGGTACAGTGGCTCAGGCCTGTAATCCCAGCACTTTGGGAGGCCAAGATGGGCAGATCACCTGAGGTCGGGAGTTCAAGACCAGCCTGACCAACATAGAGAAACCCTGTCTCCACTAAAAATGCAAAATTAGCTGGGTGTGGTGGCATATGCTTATAATCCCAGCTACTCAGAAGGCTGAGGCAGAAGAATTGCTTGAATCCGGGAGGCAAAGGTTATGGTCAGCCGTGATGGCACCATTGTACTCCAACCTGGGCAACAAGAGTGAAACTTAAAAAAGAAAGGTGGCCAGGCGTAGTGGCTCACGCCTGTAATCCAAGCATTTTGGAGGCCAAGGCAGGCAGATCACCTGAGGTCGGGAGTTCAAGACCAGCCTGACCAACATGGTGAAACCCTGTCTCAAAAAAAAAAAAAAAAAGAAAGAGATATGTCACAATGCCACCTGCAGGAAGGGGAATGGGCCACGTAGGCGACTCCCACCCCTTAGGTGTTGAGCCCAGTGATATGTCACAACACTCAAATATGTAGTGCCTGAGAAAAAGAAGAGAGTCACATCCCCTAGATGCTAGGCCAATGATATGTCACAATTTCTCTGTGAGCAGAGACCAGGCAGGAGGAGAGTAACATTACCATGATAGGCATTCAGTTATGTCACAAAACCCTTTGTAGTCAGAGCCCAGGAAAATCATGTTACACCACCCAGGTGTTGAGCCCAGCAGTACGTAACAATGTCTAATGTGACATACTGTTCTGCAGATGGCACAACATGCAGGACACAAGTTGGAGAGTTACATAACATGGGTGCAGGATCCAGGAACATTTAACAATACCCAAAATCTGTGGGGTCCAAAAAGAAGAGTCACATCACCGAGGTGCTGGGTCCAATGATATACTACAATCTTTACTTTGGGCTGGGCCAAGGCAAAAGAGTCAAATCACACAGGTGCATAACAAAGGCATATGTTACAGTCACACCTGCAGGAAAGTCTAGTAAAAAATTATAAATTCCGGGCCGGGCACGGTGGCTCACACCTGTAATCCTAGCACTTTGGGAGGCCGAGGCGGGTGGATCATGAGGTCAAGAGATCGAGACCATCCTGGTCAACATGGTGAAACCCCATCTCTACTAAAAATACAAAAGTCAAGATATATTTTACAAGTTAGGCGCAGTGGCTCACACCTGTAATCTCAGCACTTTGGGAGGCTGAGGCAAGTGAATCATCTGAGCTCAGGAGTTTGAGACCAGCCTAGCCAACATTGGGAAACCC